TGTGGGTAAATAATGTACCTATATTTTATATAAATTATTGTGTACCTATTTTTAATTATGAAAAATATACGCAATTACAAAGTAACTGACTTTGTTTTTTTTTTTTTTGGTAAATAATATACCTATATACAATACTTTTGGATAGCCTTTGTGGTACGTGGCTTCATGTACGAGATTACATGAATGGGACCAACGCAGAAGGGTAGAAGATGTAGCTAAAGCACACCATGAAGAAAAGTCGTTCACACTGTCATTGTTGACAATCCAGCCACAGTATCTATCTCTCATGTCCACAAACTTTGACGATTTGTGCTTTTTCAAAGTATTTTACCTAATAATAGATATGCAAATCGGGACCAGATAATCTTTTTCCATGCACGCACTGCCTTTCTAAGGCTGTATTGCTTCTACTTCTTAAGTCTGTCTGCATATAGATATCTTAAGTCATTGGGTCATTGGGTCATATAAAGATGGACAACTAGTGCCCCCATTCACTGCTTAATCCGACTCAAAACAAATGCATGGTCATCTGTGGACTCACCGACTGCATGTACGGCAATGTCACGCAACCTGTGGTTTTATTACACGTCATTTTCATAATAATTAATTCTTCTACTTTCGTTTTTTAGCAAAATATTCTGAAAATATATGACCCCCTGCCTTTCTCACGTCATTTTCATAATAATAAATTCTTCAACTGCATTTTTAAAGATTAGATAAGCCTAAGAGCAGCTCCACGGAGAAAAACTTAGTTGCAACGGGGATAGTATTGTTTTGTTAACTTCGACCAATAATGTTATGCCACATCGAAGTATTATCATGAATGTTACGGCGTTATTGGTCGGGGATAGCACTATAGTATATAGAAGTCTTTCTCCCCTCCCTCGCCTCTGCCATGGCTTAAACTTGAAGCTGTGCTACAGTGCTAGTGTCCCTGTTGGTAATTATGAGTCATTAAGGTAAAGTAGAGAAAGAATACATAATATCCAAAATTGCAAAGAGGTTGCAAAATCCTAACCGTTCTCTAAAGTCTAATTAATTAGCGTCTCAAGTGGTTGCGATATCCAGAATTGAGGCTCCTTAAATCTTTCAGGACAGAAATATATAGCAAGAGTTTTAGGAAATTTGATCCCTGTTTCCTCTACAAATTAATATATCATTTTATTAATGGAGTAACATAAGTAAACAGAAGTTATTGTGTTTAGTATATTTCCCACTCATGTTTAGTATTTTGTCTGAAACCAGGCCCTTTTTTTCCACTAATTATTATATCATTCTTATATAAGTATTCAGTAATAGGAATCAAAATCAATTTGGTTACTAATATGCCTTGTACATAATAAAATATGTTTTGTATACTTACATAATAAAATATGTTTAATGATAAATAATCAAATATATTTACATTAATTTATTATTCTAAGCATTCATGTGATTATTTAAAATAATATATGTAAGTAATTTTGAGATAACAAATAACAAGATGAGTTTTTTTTGTTGATCAAATAACAAGATCAGTTTAAATGATGGCCTGATGACGTTTTTTTTTTTTTGGTTGCCAAAGTTAGGAATAAGGAGGGGGTTTTCTCACACACACTACCAAGGTGTCATGGGAGTTCGAACATAAAACTACTAGTTTACAAGTTAAAAATATTTTACACGAGACTAGACCATGTTAGTGGGTATGATGGCCTTTACTCAACTGGTTTGAAAGGGAGACTGAAATAAATAGAACCGCAAACTATATCGTTAATTTTGTTGTTGTTCATTTTTACCATTTCAAGCATTGACTGAGCATATGAATGCTACCCTTGGCACGGAAAGGGGTTGTAGAATTTGGTTGTGTGTTTTTTCTCTAATTGTTTTAGGAAGAAAACTAAAATCAACAGCTCCTGGATGCTTTACTCCTCTTTTTTTTTTTTTTTTTTTGGCAACTTGCTTGATCGAAAGAAATTTTTTTATAGCAATGAATACTGAATACAAAGAAAAATTAATTCACGATTTCTTCTTTCTTGAAGCAGGAAGAACTTGAAGGCAACGGAAAACTTGCTTTGCATGAAGCCACCAGTGGTGTGACTTACGAATCACAAAGTTTGTGATTGTGGAGGACCCACTCTAAGAATAATGGCCTAGTCTTTATCAGAGTTGCCATTTATGTGAGAGTCTTTTTTGTTGAAAGATGCAAGGGATATTTGTAGAAATGTCACCTGAACTTATACCTTAGTTTCAATTTGTCACATGAAAAAAAAATTAAGAGAAATGTCACCTCAATTTTTTAAAATCATTATTTGTCACCTAACTTTAACATCATCCAATTTTCCATCTATTTTTAAGGGTAATTTAGTCTTTTTATTTTCAATGGTATTTTAAAAATAGAAAATTCATTATAAAAAAATTATATTTCTTTTAAATAATTAAAAATAAAAAGAAAAATTATGAAAAAAAACTTATCTCTTCTGGAAAAAAAAAAATTTCTCTCTTCCCCCTCTTTATCTTCCACACCCACCATCACTACTCTATTTATATACAATTTAAAATAAATAAATAAATAAATAAGAGTTAACTTAATAAATGAATATTTTTTTTTAAACATTAAAATCAAAAATCAAAAAAAGACACCACCTCCAATCGTCCAATCCCAACCGCCAGCCACCATTGTTCTCTCTTCTCTTTCTCCCCAACAACAACCCGCCACCCCAACTCTGATCCATCTCACCCCTTAATATATATATCTCTCTCTTCCTCTCACAAGAACAAACCCTACCCCACCATCCCTAGTTGCTCACAGCTGAGGTTTTTACATTTAACCCCCAACCATTTTTACATTTAAGCCTTTTTTAAAAAATAATAGTAATTTTTTCCATTTTTAAAATACCCTTGAAAATGAAAAGACTAAAATACCCTTAAAAATATATGGACAATTGGATTATGTTAAAGTCAGATGACAAATTATAAATTTTGAAAAATTCAGGTGACATTGCTATAAATATACGGGTTTTTTGGACCGGTGTGAGGTGAACTGAGCTCTCCTTTACTCTTTCTGAGTTTGCAGCACCAGGCCCCAAAGCTATAACACCCCGACTCCAAATTTATTGCCCATTTTAATTTATTTAAGTGAAATTACGAAATTGCCCTTGGGGTAGAGGTAATTTGGTCATTTCTTATCCGAAAGGAATTTGGGAATTTCGACTATACCGTTGCGTAGAGCACGGCGAGATAAGTCCGTAGAGACGTAGTGGGCTTAAATCGGAGCTGTAATGAAGAAGTTACGGGCAAAACATCACCACTGGCAAAATCATAAATATTTTGAAATGAGTTTTTGGTTAAAAGACAAAAAAGCCCTCAGCTCTCTCTCTCTCTCTCTCCCGCGCGTCCCTCTCTCTCTCTCATCTGGTTCGCGACCGCCACCACAGCCGGACATGTTTTGGCCGGCCGTTCGCTCATCCGGCCACCAAACTCGACGGGGCCGATACGAAAATGACCAGGCCACCAAACTCGCCGGAAAACGAGGAGAAAAGCTCCGGTTTTGACAGAAACTTCGCTGGCTTCGTTCTCCGTCGTCCGGCCACCGATTTCGGCAAGTGAGGTATGGTTTCTCACCTATTTTCCGAGCTCTAGCTGCCTGTTGGGTAGGAATTGATCAATTTGTAGCGTAGGCAACTCGATTTACGAATTGGATTTCGGCCGGATTTTGAGGGGAGATTCCGGCCACTTCCGGTCAGTTTTTGGGGTATGTCCAAGAACAAAAGTGGCTCCAAATAGGGTGTTTTACTTAGGGTAGGAGTCTTGAGCCGTGATTTTGGGTTTTTCCAGTGATGGGTTATCGCTTTGGACACCCATGTGCTGCCGGAACGTGTGGACGCATAGGGGCACTGTAGAAAAAGGGCTTTGGGTCCCGATGCAATCTCCTGATTTTCATGAGCGCGTGGGTTCTTTCGGATTCCAATTCGGTTGACGTTTGAACCCCGAACGGATTACGCATATTGCGTATTTTTCGGGTTCGCTAGGTTTGGACCGTTGGATGGTCCTGAAGTTATAATATGTTGATCTAGGGATTACCAGGATCGTGTAGGATTCGACGGATAGTAAAACGGAGTCCCGGAAATGCCAACCCTAGAGTTAGGGTTTTAGTAACCGAACGATCGGGAGCGATCCGACCGTTCGATCTGGACCAAACTTACAGGACGAGTGTCCTATACCAGTAGCATTCATAGAAACTGTCGGATTGAAATTTAGAGGTCGTGGGCCCCGCGGACCCGTTTGACCAAGGGTGGGTAGTTTGACCCCGGGATTGATTGTGAGACTTCCTAGGTAGTGTTACCTTCCTAGGAAGATTAAAAATGACCGTAGTGGCGGGTCTTGATTGTATATTAGTTATGTGGGATTAGAATATTAATTCATTGATTTAAATTCGGGGATTATCGAATGCTATATTGGGGTTGAGGTGTATACAATATTAGAAATATATATATTTATGTGTTTATTTAAAGGTATAAAAGAGTATAGAATGTCAGTTTGGAGTGCTATACGCACTATCCTATATACCTCCCCAGCATGTTGACAGACCTCATACGAGGTCGGGTGCGTCCCGTCGTATGAGGGGTGATATTGTTATTGTGTTGAGGTCGCACGTGTCGTAGGAGTAGCCGACGTGTTGACAGACCCCATACGAGGCCAGGTGCGTCCCGTCGTATGATGAGAGATTGTGTTGAGGTCGCACGTGTCGTAGGAGTAACCGGCGTGTTGACAGACCCCATACGAGGCCCGGTGCGTCCCATCGTATGAAGGGAGATTGTGTTGAGGTCGCACGTGTCGTACGAGTAGCCGGCGTGTTGACAGACCCCATACGTGGCCGGGTGCGTCCCGACGTATGAAGGGAGATATGATTGTGTACAGGCTGGTGAGAATGTAGCCAGGCCCAAAGTTGAGGTCGCACGTGTCGTAGGAGTAGCCGGCGTGTTGACAGACCCCATAAGTGGCCAGGTGCGTCCCGACGTATGAGGGGAGATATGATTGTGTGCGGGCTGGTGAGAATGTAGTCAGGCCCAAAGTTGAGGTCGCACATGTCGTAGGAGTAGCCGGCGTGTTGACAGACCTCATACGAGGCCGGCTGCGTCCCGTCGTATGAGGGGATTATGTGATATGTTGATGAGTTCCCACGTGTCGTAGGTTTATCCGGCGTGCGGATAGGCCCCATACGTGACTTTGGATAAATCCTAGAATGTATGAATTTGTATGGCTGTAATGGTTTATTGATATTAGGAGCTAGGATTGATACGAAAGAACTACGTGTGGCTTGATCTCTTAGTATGGTACGTAGACAGCCTGAAGTTACTAGGTGCAGCCGCGGGTCAAACCTCACTTAGGTTGTGTTGTGAGGCCAGTTCTGGAACTTGGTTGAATTGAGACTTGTCTTGTGGACTAAGTGAGTGAAGGTGTGCATAAATAAATTTTGAATTTGTTATATGCATGTTTGATGCATTAAGTTATTTTAAAAACATTGTGGGCAGTTCTGTTAGAATCATTTGAAAGCCGGAGGCCATTTATATAAATTGCATAAGATTATATTGTGCGTGCTGCCAGTTGGGTTATAAAATGTGTTTTATGCAGGTGGAAATTATGGGGAAATGTTCAATTTACAGAGGAGACTCTGTCGAAATCTCGGCAGAAAGTCTCGTGTCCTTAATCCTCTTTGGTAAAAGAGGACATAGTTTTAAGAAGTGAACCCAGCGTGGGTGTGATGCCGGGGTCTCCACATGATTCATCTCGGGTTTCGGGAAATTCGGGGCGGGTCCTGTCAAAAGCACTCTGAAAGAGTTTAAGACTTAGGGAGTGATTTAGTTATCTTCAGTGGCTTCTTGCAAGTTTTGATGTACAACAGGTACTGGAATGATTGTGCTTGATTTTGTTGTGTTTGAAGTGCTTTTATTGAAGTGAAATATGTGATGCAGGTAGTGGAATTAATAGCGTTGGAGAATATGCTAGAGGGAGGTGGTCTCTGGTGAAGAGTAGCTACATTGATACTGTACGCTTGGCATGAGAGCTTGCTTCAATGAATCAATATGAAGCTTGGCTTGAAAGGCTTATGGTGTGAGAGCAAGTCTCCATAAGTTTAGTAAGAGAGAGTCCTTTTGCTGCTTGGATTGGAATAAGATGTTTGAGGTGAGATGCAAGTGGTGTTTTCTGGAGTTGGGATGGTTTGGGATGATTTTCCATGTGATGTTCACGACTTGCAGTGGTGTTATGAAAGAAGAGAAGCGTGATGGAGGAAGGCTTGGGCTTTGTGTGTTTACGGCAGTGGGAGGATGAGCTTGCCTCCTGCCGTTCTTCTTCTGGTTTCGGTGTGTGTATTGCAAGGAGGGATGAAGGTCTATTTATATGCTGAAGAATGATTGTGTAAGGATCCGTAAGTGTACAGTGCTCAACAATTGGTTTCTCCATGAGTGTGCAGTAATTACTGTGTGCGTAGTAATGAAAGTGGGTTTGAGTTTTGGAGGAGGCTAGGAGTTCCTTATCTGCTTACTCGTGTAATTAGGCTCAAGAAAGTGGTATGAATTTTGGTACTCCCAAGTAGCTGTAAAACTTCCACTATCTGATCCTTCAACGAGCTTTATGAACACTTGTAACCATCCACACCACAATCCGCTCAGCAAGCCCCAAACATATATGTGGCTTGGGTCCACTTAAGCTTGTCGGGTGGTTTAGCATAGAATAATATATTATTTGCTTGGCATGGCATGTACACTATTTCTATATTTATTTAATGAATTAATTTCCAAAATATAGCTTGGATTAATGCATGACCAACATTATATGTTATATTGGACTTTAAATAACCTTGAGCTTCTCGTGACATAATTTTGGGCGTCAACGGTAATCTATATAGAATTCTTGTTGGACATAGACTCTTATCTTCTTTTTAGCTTTTAATTATTGTTTATTTAATAAACGTATTTGTGTTATAAATTCATACGTTATGGGTTTATAGGTTATGGATGCCCACAATAATAGCTACTATTAACCTATCGTAATACTCATCATTATATATTTGCCACCTACCAATTATTGGTGGTAAATGATTTAGGCCTCTCTACCCCTATAAATAGTGGCACCAAATATGAATGGAATACAAGTTGATTTGAGCAAATTATAATGTCTTTTTCTTCCTCTTATTATTTCTCCCTACAAATTCCTAGTTTCACAACATGTTATCAGTACGAAAGCTCTTGGTAATGTTCTTCTCTATAGCTTACGTTCATCCATATATATTATTTCTTTATCTACAAACTCGATGACGGCTGATTTTTTTTGAAATCATGTTTTTGACATTATTTAAATTGCCGAGAGTATCACCTAAATTAAAGTCTGTATGCTTATGGGTCCACCAATGAATGCACAATTCATTAAATTTGGTGCACAATTCATTGTCCAAACGGTGATCACACAAAACAAATGAGTCATACATGAACTCCATTAATATTAGGAAAAAGTTTGGCTCCACAAAACTGAGGAGCAATTCATCCTCAAAACAAATAGAGTTTTAACACTTGGAAAATTCCTTTAATTTTTTTCATTTGAATTCTTTTAACCTCTTTTCTTTAAATTTTTTTTTTTTGAAGTTTAACTAGTGCCAAAATCTCATTTGTTGTGAGGATGTGCTCTCCCTCAATTTTAAGGAGACAGGCCATACTAAACATTTTTTACATAATATGCATTGAGCAAGTTACATCACATTTTATCACATAATAAGAGAACACATTCCAATGCGTATATTACAGAGAACACGAGAACAAGCTTAAGACGAGTCTATGATTGAGAGTTCATATAGATTACTCAACCAAACAACTTTATTTCGTACTACTACCCTTACAACACACCTGCAACGTAAGTCACAGAAACTAACATGTTATCTAATTCTCGATTTCCGTCTCAGCAGCACCAGGCCCCCCTTTGCCGTGGTGGCCGTGGCCATACCCTCCACGTCCTTTGCCATAACCTCCATGTCCTTTGCCATACCCTCCATGTCCTTTGCCATACCCTCCATGTCCGTGGCCATAACCTCCATGTCCGTGGCCATACCCTCCATATCCGTGGCCATCACCGTTGACTGTACTCTCCTCTGACACTGAGAGAACAAACAAAAACTTCATATATAAAGCAAAAACAATATACATAACTAATAACAAATCATAGATCGGTTTGTATTTAATAAGGTGCAAATTAAGCCATGCAAGAGCAACAACCACTAACCCTACATGCAGAAAAATGGTTCGAAGCATAATCATTTTCACGACCAGTGCACCTTAATTAAAATGTGCATAAATTCACAAATCGTTACTGGAAAGAAAGATACAATTACTAATTTAATATATATGATTTAGTTAAGAAAGTGAGAAACTCACGAGTTGGAGTAGCTGAGACCTCAGAGGAGATGAGGAGAACAGCAAAGACAAGAACAAGAAGAAGAAAAGCCTTTGAGGATGCCATGTTTTGCTTAACAACAAGCACGATAATGTATATACGAAAGTATGCAAGAGATGAATGCTGAGTGAGTATAATATGGCTTGGTTCTCCCTATTTATAGACCTTTCTGAGATATCAGTGGGGTTGGAATAAAGATAAGGAGAGAGAAGAATTTGTGACTCTTGTGGTGATTAAAGGCTAAAGAGCGCCAAATTCAACCCCTACTTTGATGGTGATGGGACTACGTATTAAGTAAGCTTTTATTAGAGGCGGGACGGCAAAAGCTAGCTAAGTTGTGTTGTGTGATCAAGTCAAAAGAAGTTGTTTTATGCGTGATTAATTGGGTGCGATACTTTCAAGGTATGTGGCAAATGGGCTGAAACTTAAGCTGCTGATTCATCATTCAGGTCACAATCTTGTAGAGTGATCACGAGAGTTATTTAATTGTCAGTTTACATTCCTAATTTAGCATTTTTAGATTTTCACAAAAGGTGTGGTGTGTATACATCTACTGTTAGAAGGAGACTGATATAGCTTTAGTTGAGGGATTTCTCAAATAAGTTTATTTGAAGGACACCCTTATAACACTCACCATGCATTTCAATAATCTGATACCGTCTAGTTTTTAGATATTTCTTCAAATATCATTTCTGCGACAATCACTTGGATTCAAAACCATTTGATCATTCAATTAGATAGTTGTTATTATAATCTTTTCTTGAAATACCGTGTTTGTTTATTTTGTTGATTTCATCCTACCGCAAAATTCTTATGAAAAGTAAATGGAATTACAAAATAGAAAATGAGATTAAATATAAACACAAATGTATCCGTAGGTTTTCTTTGTATTCATAGAATCCCTATATCATGTATAAATATGTTCAAGATTAAAGATTTATTTTGTATTGGATTTACCTAATTATATAGTAAAAGGACATTTACACTAATTGTATTGGATTTACCTTGAGCATAAAACTATTAGTCAACCAATAATGGACAGGCAGTAGGACCTATATACTGCTTCCTTCTGGTCCACAGTTATTAAAGTTTTGGTAGCCTTTGTGGTACGTTGTTTCATGTACAAGATTACATGAATGTGACCAACGCAGAAGGGTAGAAGATGTAGCTGAAGCACACCATGAAGTAAAGTCGTTCACACTCTCATTGTTGACAATCCAGCCCTCGCATGTCCACAAACTTTGACGATTTGTGCTGTTTCAAAGTATTTTACCTGACAATAGATATGCAAATCGGGACCACCAACTAACACTCATTAATAAGATTGGCAAGGTCAAAAATAAACACAAGTTCCATACCCACCCGCGTAAACCATTATATTTGCCTTTGGGTTCTTATTAGCCCTTCGATTAATGAAAATGTTTAAATTCAATAATTTCTTTATATTATTAGACGGCTGGATTGAACCCTTCAATACACCTCGTGAAGCTCAACGCAGACCCCTCGTTGTCGAAGGTCCATTCAGGTTGGGCTTCCCAACAAACTTTGGACCATGGGCTTAATCAATAAAAACTAAACGTTAATAAGCCCATTTGAAATTGAGTTTTGCACTTTTTGGCCCAAAAGCATATTGGGTTAAATCTTGGGTCCGAGTTTGTTTTCTTTTGAATTAACAAAAAAAGCCTCTATCCTTCGGCGTTCCAAAATCGAGTGTAAGATCCCCAAATATTTTTCGTTTCTTTTAATTTCTTTTCCCACACTTTCTCGGCAGCCAAACAGACCGGTAGGGTTTCCATTTCTTGTTTCATTCTGAATTATTTGCCCTTTATTTTTTCTGATCTAGCTAAATTAAATTATTCAAAATTTCAAATCCTAAATCGCATTCAATTTCCTTTTCGTTTCTCTTTTCTATTATAGAAATTGAACTTTTCTGGTTGTGTGCATCGAGATCGAAGAGAAATCCAACATGGGGTTTTTGGTAACGACCTTAATTTTCCTTGTGATTGGGATCATTGCTTCTCTGTGTACCAGAATTTGCTGCAACCGAGGACCTTCTACTAATTTGTACGTTTCCGCATTATCCAATTTCACTGTTTTCTTTCTCATTTCTTCTTTCATTGTTTTTGGTTGTAGCTCTTAAATATGTTGGGTCTTTTTCTTTATGTACAATATGTGTTTAGCTGCTGAATTTGTTAATTTTAAGATCACACTAGTCTTACAATTTAAGAAATATTTGGTATTGGGGGAGCTTAGGATTTGATTCATGTCAGTGTGCTTAGATGTTGTTCAATCATACATATGATTAGGGATTTCGCTATTGAATTAGTTGCAGTATTAGGGGACGCGTTTATGCTTTGTTACAAGTTAATTGGTTGAATAACTGCTCATTTATGCTTATATATGACTTTGGAGAATTATGCACTTCTTGTAATGTAAAGAGCTTTTTTATACTGGGGAACTTGTGTGGAAACTGGGTGAATTTGGTTAGTTGGTTCGTTTGCTCTATCTTACAATTAAATGGTTTATCTGTGTGTACTAAGACTTTCGATTGTAGATTCCAACCCATTCATGTGTAGATGTAACTCGAAACCTTCATTCCACCTGGGGCCATCTATAAGCCATTGGCACGGGGCCTTTCAAGGCCCTTGGCCTCGGATTGTTCAATTCTTAGTTCTTTGTTAAGACATTTTGTTTTGTTGAATATGATTGAATTTATAAAAATGCGTAGTCTTATTTTGTTTTGTAAAAATAAAAAATTCAGCTTAATATATTTGCTTTCACAGTTTCTAGTTGATCTTGTATGTTATGTCTGCTTACGAATATGATAATTCAGAATATCAGTTTTTGAAAGTTTATTGTACAGCGTCTAAGAGTGGTTTGAGAAAATATGTGGTTTGATTTGGTTATTTTGTCTTGAACGTATTGATACTTTTCTCCTTGTTAATACTTCTTTTAGCTTCCTTATTTATCTAAACTCATGCTTTTCTTGTGCAAAATACTGACCTTTATATTTTTATTCAGGTTCCATCTAACATTGGTTATTACAGCAACAATCTGCTGCTGGATGATGTAAGTTCTTGTGCAAGATGTATATCGTATCACTTTTTTCTTTCATCGGTATTAAGAAGGTTTTTCATTAATCAATAGGTAGTGGAACATAAATTTGTGCCAAACGTCCTATATAAATTTGTAGTTGTGCATCTTTGGACTGCATTTTTGCTGTTTGCATCTACGCTGTGCTTTGCGTATGGCCCGAAACAAGCAGTTATGCTCAATATTGGATTATTTCCATTTTGTTCTCACCCTTAATATTTAACGAAGCCTTTGCATATATTGGAAAAACAATGTGTATGTTATATGCTTCACATTGAAAATCCTCCTCCTCGGAGGCCTATAGAGCTTAGCCCATATAGTCATTTGACTCATTGCAACAGCCAATCCACCCCCAGCAGTGACATTGTGTCACATCATGGTGGAGGACTTGTTCCAAGTTCCAAGGGGTAGAGAAAGGGAAAAACTGAATCTTCTTGTTTCAAGTGACATGAAATAAAAAAACCCCATGCCTTCCTTGATTCGTTAGACTGCATGAATGTGGTGGCGGCAGTTATGTTGTTACAGTGATAGCTTAGAAAGAGTTTGTCATTGTGCTTGATAGTGCTATTGCCTATGAGGTTAACTTTCTTTCTTTCCTCTCCTGCCTTGATATGAAGATGTAAAGACTCAATCGTTGCCTGTTGAGTTTATGTATTTTCTTATTTTGTTTAATCTGTTACTATGTGGTATTGATGAGTGTTTTTAATCATTATTAATCTTTGATACAATTTCTTAGTGTAATGTCCTTTTCTTTTCACCCTTAATCTTCCTGACATCATCTTATTCTTTGGCGTTGTTAGGTGGGCAATTGTATATCTTGCACAAATGAAACCACTCATAGTCCCTATTCTAAATGAAGGAGAGTGAAGTTCTGTTTCGAAAAGCATAGATTGCCATATTGGTTACGTGCCAATCGGATTATGGATTATCTTCAGAGAACAGCAAGTTTTAGTCCAATTGATTGTTTAGCATCTTCTGGTGTTGGATTTGTATGTAAATGTTGGAGTGTCAACTTTGAATTTGTTTGGCATTGTTGCTCTACATCACCTGCTATTAAATGTTATATGTACCCTCATTCATTTAGAATTCACTGTTAGACAGTAAGAAAAGTATAAATGTGATTGGAATGGAATAAGTTATAGAGATCGAATGAGCTGACAAGTTTGATGTACTCGTGTTGCCAACTTTAGCCTATGAATGATGCTTTAGGCTTCTATTATTTTTTTCCTACCCTCACTTGATTGCCAGCTTAGATTTTCAAGTTACCATATGACCAAAAAGAATCCAAACTCCCAATAACCAAAAACCTCTGAATTTATTCCTACATGGTTTTCAATGATCTCAATTTCATACCCAACACATAATTTGAAGATCCTTTTAAAAGAAAACAACAATTATTTCATAAAATCCACATATTCGAAATCGAGTAATGCTATATTACCAAAACTGAAGTGAAAAAATCCAAATTATGGGCAGAATTGAGGAAACTGTTTTTTTGTAACTCTAGTATTGTTGTTTGAGTTCAGCTTTGCTGTGAAGGTTGGATAAGTATGTTTTGGATGTGATTGTGTTGGCATGGGATTGTAAGGTGAAAATTGAGTTTTGTTTAAAAGATAGGTAGATGATAGTTCCACTCTCAATTTGTCATTCTATAATTCAAAAGTAATCATTTTATTATATTTTTAAAGCACTCAAAGGGAGAAAAAAAAAAAGTAGAAGGAGAAAATGAAAGATGAATTTTGAAAAAATAAAATAAAATTTGGCAAAAGAATTAGTGATAAAAGTGTTTTTGGTGAAACAAATTGTGAAGTTGTTAGCTTCTTCTACTTTTCTGTTTGTTTTATGCATAAAGTGACCTGGAAATAACTCCGGAAACGAAAACGATGCATTTCTATTTTTGTAAAACCCTAAAAACCCAAAACCATTTGTAAATCCTTGACTGAGAGAACCAAACACGAAAACGATGGCTACATGGACAAACCCAAACGAGCTAATCTCAACGACGTCGTCGACAATTCCCACAGCATTTCACCACCATAAGGCAGTGCCCTCCTTCAG